GCCAGCTGCCACTAGTGCCGGGCTTGGGGCTACTCAGTAAGAGATGTGAGGCATGCCGAGGCCAGCTACTGTTTGTCTGGGGTTGTGAACCTCTGAGAGATTTTAGGAAAGTCTGCATCATGAGCCAAAACAGGTTGTTTCTATGGAAAAGCCAGTGGAAACAGCTTGGGTATGCCCAAAGATTGGGTGAGGTGAGGTTTCAGGGAATCACCAGGGTCGGGCAAAGAGTGTTAGCCAGGTTGATGGATACTCAAATATGGAAGCCACCTGTGTCAGCACACTGGGAGAGGGGAGGGCTCAACAATGAAACAATGGATTCTGCCAGCAATTCCATCTGAGAAAGCTGCCCCTCTAGCCCTTATTCTAAAGCCAGACAACTTAGTTTTTCCCTGTATGTCCCTGGCTTCTTTTGATTGCTACCCCAGTGATGGAGCTCAGAGCAAGTCAATCAGTACATTGTGTGTGGGCCCTTTAGGAGAAACACCTGGGACTTCAGCAGCCCTCTGTCTCACTCAGTCACAATCTCCACTGGTTTTCACAGCCAGAAGTTATGGAAACTTCTTTTCCAGGCACTGGAACCCTGGGTTGGGAGCCTGGTGTGGGCTGAAATCCTCACTCCTCTGGGGGAGGTGGGACCACCTCCACAGCTGATATATCTCTCCCGATTTTTAATAGTCACACACAGGTGTGGGACCAGCCCATTTCACGTCTCTGCTTCTCCTACCAGTTTTGAGATGACTTTTTCTATATGTTCTTAGTTGTAGGACTTTGGCTCAGCTAGACTTCAGGTATTACTCAATGATGGTTGTTCTGTAGCTCTGTTGTAATTTTGATGTGGTTGAGGGAGGAGGTGAACAGGGCATTTACCTACTCTGCCATCTTTTCCAGTAATCTTCTTTATGATTTTCTTAACATTTTTCTTTCTCTAGCTTACTTTAAGAAAACAGTATATACATATAATGTACAAAATATGTATTAATCAATTTTTTATGTTATTGGTAAGGCTTCTGGTCAACTGTAGGCTATTAATAATTAAGTTTGGGGGGAGTATTTATGCAAATTTTGGCTGCACTGTTCAAGTATCTCTAACCCGTGTTGTTCAAGGTCAACTGTATAATTATACTCATGGCTCTTGTAACCAGAGTCATAAGTATAGTTTTTTTGTCTGTAGAGATGATTTAGAAATGGTGTTGATGGTGGTGGTTGTCATGATAGGAATGAATATAAAATATAAAAAATATTTTTTTGATGAAGCTAATATGTTTAATACTAATTTGAGAAAAACAATTGAGTTTAGCTCTCAGAAGGCTATGTTTAGTAATTCGTGAATAATGTGAGGCAGAACTATCACATACTTGTGAACTAAAATAGATTTCTAAATGTTGATTCTTCTGAAACCTAAGAAATGGTTGAACGAGCCCAGACATGATTATTAACTTGATATTTGAATACAAATTCCAAAATTATTTACTGTAGTATTTTTTCATAATCTTAGAGCCCATTTTAATCTTTCTCATTAAAAATGTGTATATAAGAAATTTAAAAATATAATTAAAAGTGTTGAAGTAAAATTGATAATTTCCTTAATGTATACCCACTTCTCAGAGGCATCTATTGTTAATCTTTATATACATTAAAAACTATATATTTGTATGTGTATAAATTCTTTCTAAAATAATTAATATTCTCCTATAACTTGGTTTTAAAAAAATTCAATTTATTATGTACAACTATTAATGATACACAAACCATGTATATTTGAATCTAATTCTTTTGTTTTCTTTTTTAAAAAAAAAACAACAAAATGCTATTTCTTAAAAATGTAAGTACACTGGAATGTTAAGAATTTTTAGAGCATTTAGAAACACTTATCTTCTTTCTGTGCAGTACGTTTTTCAATGCAAATATTTTGTCTTTCTTTAGACAGACTCTAAAACATGATCAGAAGAAGATAAAAAAAATCAACTAGTGTTGGTCCTTCGTGGTGGGGCTCAAAAAGTCTGACAAGCACACCTAAAGAGACAGCAGAGCCAACGGAATGGCTTATTGGTGAAGTGAGAATTTGGAAAAGAAATTTCACCTCTTGTTTTTAGAAAGATACTGGATGTATATTAATGGATACTTGTGCTTCAAAATCTGAATAGGGCTGGTTGAATGGCTCAGTTGGTTAAGAGCGTGAGCTCTGAGCAACAGGGCCGCCGGTTCGATTCCCACATGGGCCGTGAGCTGCCCCCGAGTTGAGCTGCCGCTGAGCTGGTGAGAGCGTGTGCTCTTAGCAGCAAGGTTGCCGGGTTTGACACCACATGGGATGGTGGGCTGCATCTCCCTTTTCCCCCCTCCAACTAGACTGAAAGCAACGACTGGACTTAGAGCTGAGCTTGCGCCCTCCACAACTAAGATTGAAGGACAACAACTTGACTTGGAGCTGATGGGTCATGGAAAAACACAACGTTCCCCTCCCCAGTTCCCCCAATAAAAATCTTGAAAAAAAATCTGAAGAAATGTCATTGCTATTATTATTATATATGTTGTATGCCTATATTATATGCAAGAAAGAATACTCTTGGATTTCTACGCTTCAGACGCATCACAATTTAATAGCATCAAACGTTTCAAAGTCCTATTCACAATTTATCATGCGCCAGAGTTATTTTGTCATAACAAAAATAAAATGGAAAAAGCTAGAAATTGTACTTTAATATGTATCATTGTTCATTGCATGCATTCTTTTGTTTAAATATTGATTTAATTTAGGACTAAGCTTTAAAAATCCTGATTAAAAACATATGCATATTCATTTATGTAGAGAAAACGAAGAAAGACAATAAGGAGAAAAAGAAGGAAGAGCAGAAAATATATCAAAATAATAACATAGTTATCTCTATGAGATGGAATTACAAAGGCTTTTTCTTTAAACTTTTAAAAATTCTTTTCAAATTATCTATCATTTATTCATTTATTAATTCAACAATAGCCATTGAGTATCTACCATGTGCCAGGGATATACAAATGATCAAAACAAATAACTGTGTAACTTATGAAATCAGTAAAGCAAATAAGCATTATTACAATTAGCAGCAGCATCTGCTGAATCTCAAGCAATGCAGACAAATAGTGAAGTGAAACAGAACATTTATTCAGGATCTAAGTAACCGAATGGCTGTTGGTCCTAAAAGTCCTTTAGCTTCTCTGATTTTAAATTTTGGTTTCTCTCTTAATGACGCAGGCTTTTAAATTACAATTCAATAACTGCTCTCCCAGGTCTAAGGGCAGAGTAGAGCACCTTTGGGGAGAAAAGTCACCACTATCTAAGCAGAGAGGGTATGAGGATTCTAGCCAGGGCAGCTCTGAACGCTAAGGGCAGCTGTTGGCACACTTTCTGGCTTGAGTGTGACTTCAAGAATCTAAAATGGTATCTTATAGGGGTTCTGCCTGAAATCACCCAAAATGCTAATAACCAGAGAAGAGGAAGCTACTTCTAAATTGAGTTAACAGGGATGAAATATAATCTAAAAGAGTACCTTAGATAAATGCTGCCAACCCAAAAATATGTCTGTCATAGTAAAGAGGCCCAATTTCGAATAGATTTTTATATGGGGCAATGATATACACTTAATTGGTTGATTCATTCAGTTAATATTTTTTGAGCACTGATCATGTGCCAGACACATTCCAGGGGCTGGAGAAGAAACGATGAACAAGGCCGACAGATTCCCCACCTTTTTCTAGTTAGGCACTCAGACAATAAAGCAGGTAAACAAACATGTATTTCAGGTGGTGGTAAGAGCCGTAAAGACAAATACAGGAAAGGAATGGTAAGGAAAGAGACCTGTTTTACATAGGATGGCTAGGAAAACACTCTTTGAGGAGATGGTATTTGAACAAAGCCCTGAATGAAATGAGAGAGCTGGTCATGAGAAGACTGGAAGAAAAGCACTCTGGGCAGAGGGAGGAAATGGCCAGAGCAGAGAAGCCCCGCAGAAGGAATGAGATGGGTGTGTTGGAGGACAAACAAGGAGGCCAGTATAGGGAGTGCAGAATATGGTGGAGGGTCAGGGGTCGTGGGTGAGGTCAGAGACAGATCACGTAGGGCCTTGCTGGTCACGTTGAGAAGCCTGAATTTTGTTACGCGTGATGGAAAAACACTGGAGGTTTTTCAGTAGAAGAGAATTGTGATCTTTATGTTTTCAAAAGATCACTCTGTCTGCTGTATTGAGAGTAGTCTGCAGGGCCCAAGAGTGGAAGCAAGGCATCTAGTTAGAAGCGGCTGCGCGAGGAAAGAAATGCTGGACCGGAAAGCTGGAGGTAGCTGCCTGTAGAAGGATGATGTGATTGGCCAAATGTGACTCTTGTTTGGATTCAGATCTCTTTACATGTTGCTTTGCAAACAGTAGGTGAGCAATAAGTGCTTATGGCTTGTCCACATAAAGTACTTTACCTGTGCTGCTGTAGAAGGCAAATCCGCTGGATGCACTGAGCTCCTCAATGAAGAACTGAGAAAGGCAAATGTGCTCATCGGTATTTAAGGACTTGTTTCCATGTTTCCAGTAGAGCATGAGATCCTCTTCATTGTAGGCATCTAAAACAAGAAAACAATAACCTTAGAATACGCTCTTGTGAGCTCCATGAGGTCTATAACCACGTTCTGTATATCTCTGTATCCCCAGTGCCTGGTCCAATGACATGTACATATTAGGTGTTGAAAAGTATTTGCCAATACCATACCTACCATACACACACACATACACACACACACACACACACACACACACACACACACAAATCTCCAAAAACTAGTCTCTGATTGATTGACATAGTGTGGAGGCTTTTCTTGTGCTCACGTGATAAGTTAAAACTCCCCAAATAGCTGCTCCCATATCTGCATGCATGGAGTGATGTCACAGCACAGCCTTACTGTCACAGGCCTGACCCCTGGTCTTTAGGCCCGTTTGGTTTTGTAGATCTCGTGGATGAAATTACAAAATGAGCTGAGATCGTAAAATGTTCTTCTAAAATCAAATAAGTGTTATAGAATGTTACTAATGAAATTTGGGGAGGAGCATGTCTGTAGCAGACATCCATTGAGATTCCCCACATTTTAGCCTCATTATGAAAAATTGCATTTCACTTTTAAGATGTCTGTCACAAATAGCTGATGAGTCAAAGTGATTGACAAGGAGCTGGCTCAGATGCCCTTTGACTGAGCTTTCATTAGGGGGTCTAGGTCTAGAGCTGGGTTTTTCTGGGGAAACCAAGTATACTTAATGGAAGACTATGACTCAAATGGAAACATGAATGGTAGACCTTTTCAAATGTTGGAAACTCTGTGTCACTCTATATTAATAATATTAGCAAGAATATACCTTAATAGGGAGCTGCTCCTTTATAACCATTGTGGAAACTGCAAATATGTAATGATCAAAGCATTTTTCCCCCTGAATCTTCTCATTTGAGAGACTATTTGCCATCATTCTTAGCAAACAAACAAACAAAACAAAAACAACAAACAACAAAGAAAAAACTACATATTTTGGATAAATATATTTAGCTTATACCAAGATTTTTGAATCCTTATTAAGAACATGCTTATTTACATGCAAGTTTGTGATGGTATATTCAGATTGTGTGTGTGTGTTCCATCAGGAAGTAGGACTTACAGCTTTCCAGTTCAAGGGAACAATTTTGAGTGTCAAGAGGAAACCTGCTGAAATCCATAAAGCACATGGCTGAAACAGTTATCCTATAAAAAGACAAGAAAAAGAAAACTGCAGATCATTTAACCATATGGCCAAATAAGGGTTCAACAATGCAGCTCTGTTACTGTTTGATTGTTCTGTGTACCTTTCAAGAATAATGCAAAACAGGCATTGCCATCTTCTGTCCAAGTAATGTATAAATAAGGAAGCAAACCCAGGAAGGTAGGTGATTTGCCTAAGACGCAGAGTTACTGCGTGAATTCCTGTTCTAACAATTGCTTCTGATCCCACCATTTCCTGGTCAGCTCCCTTTATACAGAGGATGCCAAAAAATGTATACACATTTTAAGAAATGAAAAAACTGTATTAAAATTGTGATATTCTACATATACTGATAACAAAAGATGAATACAAGTCATGTATACACATTTTTTGACACCCTTGGAATTTTCTGGCTCCGATGTCTACAGAAAAACATACTTCAAAGTGAGAATACTTGTGAATAGATGTAAATATTGTCTGCTTTTGGAGGATCCAAACTAAAATAATTTCTAGTAATAAATGGCTAGGATGGTGGTAATAAAAAGCTATGGGTAAACGTTTCTCTCACAAAGCAAGTTTACTTGAAATTCTCTTTCCAGGAGTAAAGAAAAAGCCCAGAGCATTTTTAGTTATAGATTTATGTGCACAATGCATAATTCAGGTGCTATTAAATCGAAAGGCTCGCATACTGATGAGGGCTGTTTTTTCAAATTTTTATATCCCCCTAGATTTTCCTGAGGCTGCTGTACCTCAAAGTAGAAACTCTGGTACTCACAATCGCAGATCAGAGGTCCATAAAAGGCCCCTGAGCAAGTCTGAAAAAAAACACAGGCAATAGCTGCACTACCCATGGTGCTCCCAAGCTAATTAGAGAAGTAGAACTATTTTATCTTCCGTAGGTTGAATTCTACTTTCAATAGTCATGGAGCTAAATGCCATGGCACGGCAGTGTCCGGATGACTTTGAGTCACAAAATATACTCATTTTGGCACATTAAAGCGGGAAGGGACCTCGGAAGTCTTTGAGTCTATCTTCTTCATGGTTCATATGAATAAATGAACAACCTAGGAGGTCAGGTGGGTGATGTTAAAGAAAACATTATTCACAAAACCTTGTTACAGGGCGGCAAGGAAGACTTTATTGAGGGCAACTATAATGGGGTTTTTAAATAAGGGATAGAGATTGGGCTCAACTCCTAATATAACAAGAGAAAGTGGACATTTATAGCCAAGGAGCAGAATGGGGGTCAGTGGATAGAAAATTATTCAGAAGAAACATCAGGGACCTTGGGAGATTCTGGCTAAATGGACCTAACAGGATTCTTGCTGAAGGCAGACCAGGGCAATCAGACATCACCTGGGGGATGATGAAGTATCTGATCCTGATCAGATACTGAGGATAGGGGGCTCTGATTAAATAGACTATTCAGAAACAGACAAACACAGAAGCTCAAAAGTCAGGGTTTAGGTGAAGAGACAGTTCAGAGGATCCTGAGTACAGTTTGGTCTAGAAAAGAATCTTTGTCAGTAGATGGTATCTGAACCAAGCCTGGAACCAGGTGACATGGCTCTGGGCTTGCACAGGCTCAGCTCTCAGCTGGAATAGCTGTGCAGACAACAATTTTGTGTCCTCTTGTGTTCAGGGATTCCCCAAGGCCATTTTCACATTCAGTGATTAGCCAAAAGGACTCATGGAACTCGTCAACACTATTACATTAACAGTTACATTTTATTGCAATAAAAGGATACAGATTAAAAGCAGCAATGGAAAAGGTGCACAGGACAGGGTCCAAGATAGTCCAGGAACAAGTTTCCACTTGTCCTGTTCTAGTCGAGTTACGTGGACAGTGCTTAATTCTAGCAATGATGTGTGACAACATGCATGGAGTATTTGACAACCAGTGAAGCCACCGAACTGTGGGTCCAAAGAACTAATGGAGGGTTGGTCACGTATGTCTGACTTTAAACTCTAGCTCCAGATCCAGAGTGCCATCACATGATACCGTGTGTCTCAAGGCCCCCATCATAAACCACACAGACAATCTGGTATGGCCCAAGATCTCTGGTAAACAAAGACACTCTTATATGACAGGATATTCCCAAAGCGTGGAGGTTACCTTCCAGGAGCTGGGCAAGAGCTCAGTCTTTCTTTGGAATGCGCAGGTTGTGGACAATCAACTGAGTTAATTCTTCAATGGACATCCCTCCAGCAAAGTAATTAGGTGAAAACAGTTGATTCCTTGGCCATTTGCTGCCATTCTGATTTCTAGTGAAGCTTGATTCCAGTACTTCAGAGCTCTATGTTACTCCTGACTTTAATTTCATTTTTAAAAACATTGTCAGCCTTTATGAAAATTCTGGCAATAGCACCTTTGTACTAAAGTGAGCAAGATGTTTTTAATGAACAAAAAGAATTTGTATTATTTTCCTATGGCCACTGTAACAAATTGGCTTAAAACAACAGCAAGTTATTGCCTCACAGTTCTGGAGGCCAGACGTCTGAAATTAGTATCACTGGACTGAAATCAAGGTGTCAGAAAGGCCCTGCTTCCTACAGAGGCTCTAGGGGGGAAATTCATTTCTTGCCTCTTACAGCTCTGGCAGCTGTCAGCATTCCTGGGCTGTTGGCTGCTTCCCTCCAATCTTTCTCTTAATGGTCACATTGCCTTCCACTCTTCTGTGTATGTGAAATCTCCCTTTGTCTTTTTCTTACACGGATACTTACAATTGCATTTAAGTCCCAACCATATAATCCAGGATAATTTCTCTATCTCAGGATTCTTAACTTAATCACATCTTCAAAGATCCTTTTTCTCTCATATTGGGTAACCTTGATAGGTTCCAGGGATTAGGACATGGCTATTTTTGGAGGAGACATTTTTTTCAGCCTACTTCAATATCTTTCTGGGATTTCTAAGACATGAAAACAATTAAGTTGCTTAGACTTATCAAACATTTTTAGAATTACCTATGATAAACTACTCAGTATGCACAGGACTCATTAGGCTAAAATGACATATGGTACATTAAAAATGGAAGGCTGTTAAAACATAGTGTCAGAACCAATGTTTCAAATGAAAAAGGAAGTGAGGAAATTAGCAGGAACTTGTATGATGACTACTTTCCCATGAATAATGGAGATAGTTAAGAAAATTATTTAGCTAATCCAACATTCCAAGGCCGCTTGGTGGGGGACAGGGGTGGGGCGGAGTTGGTAAGGAGGAAAAGCAGTTTTGCATACCTATAAAATTGTGTGCTAGCCTTTTCAGGATTTCCATAATTCAGCTCCACTCTATTTGTCCAACCTTAGTTTCTATCATTCACCAACATATGCCCAGAGTGGGTATTGTTAGACTAGGAAACCAGTCTTTAAAATCTGGAAGTTAGAACTAGGAAAAATCACACCTCCTGCTTGTGTCCCAATCTCCAGCATTACTAAACACACAGCAATGTTGTGAGTTTAGTCTGAGGTGAGACCAGCTTCAGTGTAGACAGCCATGGTACAGGAAGCCAAAGGCGGCAGACAGCCCTCCTCACCTGAGACTGAAGAGGACGTTTCCATCAGATGTACACGCAGCATGATATTCTGCATGGTCGTATCATGGGTGAAGGATCTTTTAGAATGGACAAAAAAGATATCAGGCACCCAAATCTTTCTGATCAATCGATGATCAAAGGTCATACTTTTGTTTGTTGTGCTAGGAAAAGAGATTCTTTCATCTTTCCAATAATGCCTGAGGTAAAAAGTCATTGTAAAGTCCTAGGCGGACAGAAAAAGAGACAAGTCAGAGCCAGGAGGGATATGATTCAGGATGACCGCTCAACACGATTAGTCCAGGATTGATTGCCATGGCTGTTACCGCTCTGTAAGTGAGTGACCTATATTGTCTTTTCAGATATGTTTAGGATGAAGCTAGTGAGCTGCGGTTGCAGAGCCTCTTCCTCACCTGGACTCCAGTGAATGTTGAGAGTTTCTGGGAATTACAGAGCATCCAAGTTGGGGAAGAAAAGCCAGTTATAACCAGGAAACATTTCTACATAAGCGCTCTGGTAAACCACCTAAAGAGATCTCAGAAGAAAGGGATCTGAAAATCATGCTCTATTATTTTATTTCAATCTCTTTTCTCATTGTGAATGAAGATTCACTTTTATAACTGATTTCTAACTCCATAAATTTTTTTTATTTTTGTTAAAGACCCCCCTACACACACAAGTTGAATAAACCATAGTCCCACAAAAACCAGGCTATAGCATTTATTAGGGCTGTTAGTGGACAGAAAATGGTCAGAGGTCCTGGGACAGAGGCAATGATTTTCCTCAGTTTGAGAAACAGAAATTACCAAGAAACGGTGGTTCTCAAATTCAGGTGTATAAAAGAATCACCTGTGAATTTTTAAAAATGACACATTTCCCAGAAACCAGTTTTCAGAGATTCTGAGATTCCAGAGATTCAGTATGGCTTAGAGACTTGAATTGTTAATGTGTGTCCCAGTCACAAGGAGGTAAGGATGAGGGCAAAAACTGTGTTAACATCATGTTAGCAGGAAAAAAAAAAAACTTGGTTAGTCAATCATTTGAGTTTGTTTGGCTTTCAGATGCTACATGTAATATTTTGTTTGAACAGAAACTCTCCTAGCTTCGTCCAAGTCATTGGGTGTGGACAATGACAGTATGTTTCGCTTTTCACAACTGTTTACTTCTTACTATCATTTATTTCCCAACAATACTGAAAATGTTCTTGAATTAACACATTTATTAGGCAAGCAAAGGACAAACCTCACTAAGCTACACATAAGTCGCCAACTAATTATGAGCTAGTTTGCTTTTTTAAGGTTCAGAATAGAGGTACATTGTATTATTTCTTGGGCTTACTCTGGGAGTATCAGCCACGTGTAATTTTGGACTAGGATGAGGGTGAGTGAATAGAATGATTCATTCATTACCATATCACTACTCTACAGGGAATTGTGTGGGTTACTGCATGGATTGCTTTAATAAACACATTTAGAGGCAGATGCTCAACTTGATGGGAGGTCATTGGGCAAACACTGTGAAGTCCAATGGGAAGCACTGGTACATGTCAGTGATACATCGACGTCACCATTGGCTGGAACTACCATGAGAAGCAGGCTGAACAGCATGTTGGGAGGACAGTGGGACAAAACTTAAAGGGATTGAAAGTGAATTTGGGGTGAGATAAGGGAGGGTGGTGAGATGATAAATGACAAGCAAAAGAAGCCAACACTGGGGTCACTGCTAATTGAAAAGCCTTCTGAAATTGGGCATGGAGAACCCAGTCCAGTGTTAGCTGATGTGGAGTCCAAAGCTGACCTCATGCAGGGGAGAAGAAGGGGGTTCAATTTTGGGGTCAGTGGCATGGAAACATTAAGAATTTTCTAGGCAGACTGGATCATTCAGGGATGACTTAGATTATGCCAGAAAGGGGAAATGAGAGCATTTCCTGGAGCGTAAGAGTCTCAAGGAAATGCCAGTAAAAGCTCTTTGGGCAGGGAGGAGCCAAAACGTTCTCAACAAGGCATTTTTGAGTAGTGAGTGCTGTTGTTGCTATTACCTTTAGGAGTAGGGTGGTTAAAATGAAAGAAGTTTCATTTAAGGCTTGATATTGAACTGAAATAAATATTAAATTAGGTAATGATAAGGGCCAGAAGGACATTAGGTAAAGACTGAAACAAGGTATAATGGGTTGTAGAAGATTTTGTTTAGACCTATCTGGAATTTTTAATGTGTCCTGTGATTTTTCATTCGGTTAGCATTGGATGGCAAGAACCCGCTGGAGGAATTATAAATAAAAAGATTAATTAAAATACATATGAAAAGATTATTTGAACTTACAATGTAAGTAATATATCATTTCTAGCTCCTGCTTCTTTAAGATATCCCTACTTTGTTCTTTTTCTCTCTTTTTAGACTTTTATCTTTAATTGTGGTATTTGCATAGTACAAAAGTAGTATATAGAATCTAAATTTCAAAACTTAGTTCTATAAAAAACACTATATAAGCTACAGTTCATATATCAAAAATACTTTTATTCCAAAAAGTACCCCAAAGCAATTTTTGAAAATTTCGCAAGAACACACATGTAAAAGATTCCACAAAAGGGGATGAAATGCACATGGACATGAGACTGTACATGAAATGACTAGATTAGATAAACAATAAACTAAATCTTTCCAGATGGAAAATGGAGTTTGAAATGAAAATAATTTAAATCCTCCCTTGTCATGGAAGAGGTATTTCCTGGTTTATTTTTGAACCTTCCTCCTCCCCCCCCCCCAAAATAAACAAACTTCTATAAAGTAGAAAATGAAGGACAATAAGCATTTGGCTGAGGGTTCAACCTCAAATGACTGCAGGACCAGGTGGGCAACATCAATGAATGAAGCAGGATGAATCTAAGAGAAAAAAGCCAGGCATGGGTCCTCGGGCCAACTGGAGGGCACAGCCCCCTCTAAAGGCATTCACAATTAAATTGTTCAATATTTTGGAGGGAGGTGGGAACAAAAGTAAAATTCAAACCAAATCCAAAATTGAAACCCAAACCACACATATTCAAAACCACACCTGACCAGTGAGTACCTGTTAGGGCCCTTGTCATTTACAGCTAGTTGCACATAGTGTAAGTTGATAGGAAACAAAAATGCAACTACAGGAGATGATGGAAAAGACAGCACGACTGAAAAGAACAAAATTAGATGGAAAGAGCGATTCACATGTAAGAATACATATCAATTAGGTAAGAATAGGAAATAGACATTGAAATTTTGAAACTATATAAACACTCTTTATTTGGCATAGAAAAATGTACTAAAATGGGCTACACGAAGCTCTGAGACATTAACAAATTAACAGAATAGTAGTAGGTAAAAGGAAATATACCTGAAAACACATAATGTATGTGCTTGTATATATATTAGCCATGGTATCGACTATTATTTCTTAAAACAAAATCCTGAAAAACCTTAAAATTACTTAAATGAAAATTGCTCTGGTAATTATGTGGACAATGAAGGTAGTTCTAAAGTGGGAGGAGAGAAAATAAAATAGAAAAATTGTGGTAGGGGATATTAAAACATAAAAATAGCTAAAATGGTAAAACCAGATTAAGGGAGGGGGTAAGAGGAAACAATAAAAGCAAGTCATACAGTACAGCAAAGAAGACAGAAAAAAGGCTAAAAGGAAGGCTAATTGATGAGTTTTATGTTTTAGGGGCAGTGGTTCACACATAATACATGAAAATACAGATATTCCATTGCAAACTAAAATAATGGCAGTCTCTCCTAGGTTTCTGGACAATATTAGGAATGGATCATATTTTCTTAATTTAAAATTTTAGTTCCCATAAATTAAAAAAAATCCTTTGTTGTCTGCTGTTGTTTATCTACAGATAAGCAATGTTAATATTAATTGAAACATTTGGAAGCAGTCCACCAAGCGTGGTTCAACTTTCTATCATTTTATGAGTAAGGACTCAAGGTTGTGATTTCAAAATTCATATATTTTATGATCATCCTTTTTTCTTGTACAATTATTCCTGGTTCATGTTACATAGCTAAGTGTATCATGATGTCCTACAGCGCTCTACCACTACAAAACGATTAGAGGGAAAAGAGGAGCATAGGAAAGGAATGAGAATTGTAATCAAGGACAGGAAGTTCTATTAAGCAAAGTAGGAAAGGTAAACAACATAATAATTAAAATGATTTGTTAAAATATCAGTGATCTTGACACTATTGAGTCTCCATCCTTTCAGAAAAAAAGTCTAATATCTCATGGAGAAACTTACCATGTTAACTTCTGAAATGCTGTCAGTGCTTTCAATCTGGACATCTATACCTACTGGCACTGGAGACCCTTCAGAAAGAAGAATGGGTAATGTACTAAGAAATCATTAAAATTACTTTGCAGTCATTTAAAGCCAAGAGAGATTAGTGTTGTAAATTACTTTTCAAGTTTTTTAACAACAAATTTCTCCATTATCTGTTGATATATTATTATACATTCAATTGTAATAATAAAGGCACATGTATAAATAAATGTTTCAATAATCATTACAAATTTGCTTGGGAACAATTTAATATTTTCCTTCTTATGGTATTACTTATAGTACAGAGCGATGTTTCCAGTTTTTTCTTTCTTTTTTTAATCACTAGTAGTGATTTTTAAAAAAGCAACATTTTGAAAACATGTCTAAAAGTATGTAGAATTCTGTGTTCTCAATGGTACATGATCACATTTTAGAGTCAGGGAGTGAAATTGTCATGGAGTTCATGACTGGAAAATGTGGGAGCCTGTCCGTTCCTGCTAAAACATCAGCCTCTTTTCACGTGAGACGTGCTTGGCAGGCTAAAGGAGCAATGGTGATAGCACAGCGCTACACAGGGATGCCATACACATCCAGAAATAGGCCTTTCCAGGCCATCGGTAAGCACAACCTCATTTGGGATGAAGCAAACATCCTTAGAAATGCATTTGATGACAATATACTGAAAGTCAGCACTGGAGGGACCTGAAACAGAGAACTGCTGAGATGTGTTTGCAGTTGGGTCTCGTGGCATCAGGTTCATGGGCCCAGAGAGCCTGAATGACGATGCAACAGAGCGAAGTCCAGACTGAGGCCAGGACATTTCCCTGGTACACCTCACAAAGTGTTTCACCAGCTCCGTGTGAGGGGATACTGATCTCAATAACTTCATTACTTGGTGCTGTTTACGAGATTTAATGCATACATCCCCTGAAATAATTTATATATTTATACATATAGTCTTCATACATTTTCTTTCCATAGTGACCAATTCTCAATTAAATTGTATTGTCTCTGTATTAAATTGTATTGTGACGGTCCTGAGTTAAAAAACGCTTTCAGCTATTGTTGGAAAAATACAATTCTTGCTTTGATGGACCTCAGGTGGCTGTTTGAGGCAAGATTCTGGGATTTAGAAGGGTCAGGCCAAAAAAGCTTCCTTGCTGAGGTCAATTAATGTCTGGCTGTGCTATACATGTGACATATATGTGCTTATAATTCAACAAAGCACCTAATTATTGTGTTTTAAATACACAACACGTTATAAAACAAGATATGCCTTGCCAGTCCTTACTCACGATCTATGATTCCCCCCATTAATTAGCTGATATTACCTTCACTTATTCAAAACAGAGTCCCTTTTCTCCTCCATAATTCTATACCCTCAATATCATTCCTTACTTACAAGGGTACCACCTGGCCAGGTACTGGGCCTGTCACTTGAATATATTTCTACTTCAGATTTCAGGAATACCTTACCTGCTCCTTAACCACCAACTACTTCCTTCCATATTGGATCAATTAGTTTCCACAACGTTGATATTGACAGTTTTATAAATAATATTGTTTAATGGTAACTATGACTAAGCATTAACTTGGGAACAACTCAGTAGTATTACTTTAAAGCATTCAACGCTGATGCTTTTTGTTTGCCTTTTTTCCTTTAAGTAGTACTGATATCAAAATAAAAATTCATGGGAAGATCTCATCCATGGTTTTATGCAGGCTTTCAGTGAGAATAAATCCTCCCATTAATTCTATTACTCCAAGGGAATGAAAGGTTTGGGGAAGCCTTGGAGATGTAGCAGGATATCCTGAATAAAATTCTTGCATTGGAGTCACGGACTAGAGTTTGAACCCAGCTTCACCACTTATATGTGATCTAGAGTAAGTAACACCTCTAAGCTTAGTTTCCACACCTATAAAATTTGAGTAGTAGCACTCACCTTGGAGAGTCATTTGAGGACTAGAAATAATACAGTTAGTAAACTTAATTGGTGCAGCTGCAATTCAGCAAAAAATGTGAACCTGCCCCTAGGAATAAAAGCCACTATTCCCAATCCTACACACAAACATTTAGATGGCCCATTCCTCACTAAACAATGATACAGTGCTTCTCTCAGAGCATTTATTTTGTCACAAAATCTGAGAACTTGGATTTAGGATCTTGTGACTTATAAGTAGGTCCTAGTTGCTGATGACTATCTCTGCAAGCTTGGTAACAGTCCTATAAAGCCACCAAACAAAGACACATTTGTGCCACCACTGGACAAGCACTGGGCCCTCGGGGTTGTTTAAAGGATGGTCTGATAGTCAGGTAGAAACATGGCTTGTCCATTAGGAATGGGTTCCTGGAAACATCTTAGATTTCTTCTTTCCTTGCTCTGATTTACACTGTTCCTGTGAGGATGAGCTCTTCCATTTGCAAGGAAAGTGTTTGCCTTTGGATGTCGTCTGACCTCATTTTTGTACCCTTTGAGCTCCATGTCCTGTGCTCCTTATTCTGTGTCTGAGAATCTATACCGTGGTCTGACATTCCCAAGGACAGGCTGGAGAGTGAGGGGCATGTAAAGGCAAGATGCAGAATCACAGAATTTTGGAGCTGAATAAAAGCTCCAAAGATCATTCTTTCTATAAATGAGTTGAGTCCCAAAAAGAAGGTGGCAATCAAGCAGATAGGTTAAAAATTGTGGAATTTGTAGCCACATAAACCCAAGTAAAAGCCAAACTTCTAGAAATACTTTAACTCCTCAGTTTTCTCTTTTGTAAAATAAAGAAAATAAATATAATATATGCGTATGGTACCTACGCAATGGGGCTAATGTGAGACTAAAACTAAGAGTGCAGGTTAAGTCCTTAGCCTGGCTGCATTCAAATATCTTGACAACCACTCATTCGTTATCTAATCATGGATCAGTAATACATACAACACACGATTAACAACAATTTCATAAATACTATTAACTCTATACATGAAGCATTTGAAATATAGTAAAAGTTAAATAAATATTAACCATTATGACTACGGTGTTGATTTCCCAGGATCACTAACTGGGTAACAACACACACATTTATCATCCTTTTTATATACATAAATGTAGATCATCAACCTGGTTTTTACACACGCTGGGATCAGGAGAGTTCAATGAAAGCTAGACGTCTTATTTGTACAGTGCATTTAAAATACCGCATGTAATATGTTATCTCATGTAATCACTACAGCTATTTTTTCGTAAGCTGGGTAGAACCAATGTTGGCTCCATTTGACATGAAGGAACTCATGCTCGGAGAGGTAAGAGAACTTGCCCGAAATCTAAAGCTAGTTAATGCAGGAACATAGCCAGGTCCTTCAGGCTCCCAGTCTAGTCCTCCCTGCTTGACAAGCAAAGACTATACCAGTGGCTTTTACAACTTGAGTTTTTGTCTTGACTCAGTAGCCAGTGTCTAGATGCTAAACTGACTTCACTTTAAAGAAACAAAGAAATCATTGTCCATAAGACTAAAACCAAAAAAAAGCCCTTAGTTATGGGAGATGTAAAGGGTAGGGAAAACATAAATAAAGAAAATGAGCCACAATTTATAACCCAAGTTAAACAAAAAGCTCCCCTAAATTTATGTCCTCCTGTTTCCACATAATGAGTCAATTAATCTTCTAACGCTTTATAAAAGTAAAAAACACTGCAGTAGCAGCTGGTTTTAATGTTAAAGCTAATTAGGAAAACACATTAAGGCAAGAGAAGTGCTGAAGTTACATTTAGCTCAACAGGAAAGAAGTGTGTGTGTGTGTGTGTGTGTGTGTGTGTGTGTGTGTGTGTGTGTGTGTATCTGTGTGTTTGTGTTATGGACAAGTATACAGAAAGAGAAGATAAATTAAAGCTTGTCTTTCTTATCCTGCAGTCTCATTTCCTCAGGAAGGCAGCCTTAAGAGAACAGAGAAATGGGTCACTGGTATAGAAAGCTGTTTTGACCAAGACAAGAGAAGGTTAAGGACTATATTTCACAGAGCTACCAGGCTGACACTTCTGACTGAATTTATGGATTTTTCTGCCTGAATACACAAGCCATTTGGACACCATTTAGCCCCAGCCCATGATTGTCAGAAAAATTTCTTAATCATGGAGTGATTTGCCACCTGCCATTAAATAGCACATTTTAAATAACCCCACAAAGTAGCGTCAGGGGAAAAAATCGTTTTTAATAAAGCATTGTCACTTAAAAAAAGGAATCTTAACATATATCATACATCATAGAATTGGAATCTTAAAATACATCAATAGAATTCGAAATTTAAGGTCAATTTTATGTTTTACTGGGGGGGTGGGGGTGACAAAGACAGGGAGAAGGAACGCATAAATGTTTTAAGATAAAAGCGGAGGGTGGGCATTTAACCTATGGAAGTGTTTGTCAAATTATAAAGTGTATTCAAATCACCCAGGGATCTTGTTAAAATGCAGATTTTGATTCTGAAAGCCTGGGGTGGGACCTAAGCTTCTGCATTTCTAACTAACTCTGAGGTGATTCTACTGCTGGTCCTTGAACCGCTTTGAACGACAAAGACTTTCTAGAGCATTTGTTTCAAGGTCCAAATTCAAGGATAGTCATTTTTCTCTCAATCTTTCTGTCTTTCAACCGTCTAAAATAGACCCATAAAAACCCTTTCCTCTAAAAGACAAATACCATATGATTTCACTTATATGTGGAATCTAAAAAACTGAACGAATGAGCAAAGTAAACAGAAGTGGTCTCAGAGATATAGAGGAACAACTGATGGCTGCTAGTTGGGAGGGGGTGGGGATGAGGGAGAAGGGGAAGGGAGTAGACAGCATAAATATGTAACTACAATATCACCACAGGGACATGAAAGACAGTTTGAGGAATATAATTAATAATGTAAATATTTTTTAGGGTGTCAGATGGTCACATGTCTTGCTAGGGAGACTGCATCATGGATGGGGTAGAGGCTTGATCACTGCACTGTACACCTGAAGCTGATGTTGTATAATATTGTATGTCAACTATAAGTGAATATATATATATATATAATATATATATATAATATATATTATATATATAGTCACAGGACGTGGAGTATAGTGTGGAAGTGGAGTCAAGGCAATTGTAATAGATATGTATGATATTGGGGGGAGTGGGGCGGCCGATTGGGAGAACGGTGTTGATCACTTCGAGGGGTAAAAAGTATAACTAGTGCATTGTGTTGTACAGCTGAAACTAATTCTAAAAATTGTGTATTTCACAATAAAAAATAATTAAAAAACAAAACAACCCTTTCCTCTAGAATAGGAATTCATTTAACTGAGGAACCTAACCTGACAGGAATTAGCGCAGCTTTGTGAACTGGTGTTCAAGAGAGCATATAGTGTAACATCATTTTGGGGTTGTAACTAGTGCTCCGGAGATGCCGGTTTCAAGACATTCCTGTGAGACTGGCGCCCCCTTGTGGCTCAAAATACCTATAGCCCAGCAAGTTCATCTACCTAAGATTTTCGCCAGCTCAAGGGTGGTAGGAGAAAGATTTTAGAAACTTTTATAGGATAATAGAGACCAAGGTACAGAACACCTGCTTTATAGTTGTAGAGTATATTATCCACACTTTGAGCAAATTTGGTTGGAGGAAAGAAACGGGTCTATATGAAATGGTAGTTAAGTCACACATCTTTTAGAGAATTGTGGTAATGATGACACATCTGAGTAGTGATCTAAAGAAAAAAGATAAAGAAACAGTTTTAGAAGTAAAAAAATGGACACAGCTTTAAACCTGAATAATTTCGAGGCTCCTAAAGTCTTAAATTAGGTTCAATAACTGTGAGAAATGCTCTAAAAAAAATTAAACTCACCAAGATCTAATCTAATTCAGTAGTTATCAAATATGCTTCTCAAACCACCAGCAGCAGCATCACCTAGGAATTTGTTAGAAACGAGGATTGTTGGCCTAGTGAATTAAAATCACTGGGATGGGGACCCAGTGACCTGTGTGTTAAGAACTCCCCAGGTGATTCTGATGCTCACTAAAGTCTGAGTCACTAATCTAATGAAATCAAAGCCAGGCCCTTAGAATTGCAATCCAGTGGCTTCCAGGACATTAAAAAACAACAAACAAACAACCCTCAACATAACAATGACCTGACCCACTTTTTAATTTTACTTGTTAACAAATTAGTTCCCTAGGGCGCCTCCACATCTGTTGCGCTTCCCTTGGTGAATCACCACAACGCAGCAATGATCAAATCCTCCCACCTCAGCCTAAGTACTTGAGGAATTCATTATTTATCAAAAAAGCTGAACCTGTTCCACTGCTGGCGGATCCTGCCTTCTCACCCTCACATTCGCTTTTCTTCTATCCACAGCTTTACTATTCGGAAAAGTTTTCAATTCAGGAATAGTGGGAGTGGGAGACTTGAGGTCAGTGACAGAAGAGTCTGGATGAATTTAGCAGTAAGGTGGGGAGTGAAGTTGAACCGGTTGATTTCACTACCGCCTGTGTGTGTCTGGAAAACTTGATGCTCTCAGTGATGCAACTATACACACGTTACACAATCTGAGGGAAGGAGAGATTTTGTTCCCAGTATGTACTTCTAAGGTCGCCTTCTTCTGCCCTCCTTACCTGCCATGGCATCTTGTTCCAACACTCACTGCTTTTCTTCTTGGCCTTGAGCAAACCTCTTAACTTCTCTACGCCGCAGTTTCCACACTGGAACATTGGGGACCGTGATCGTGTCTCTGTCTCAGGGTCACTGTAAGGGTGGAATGAGCTAGTGCACAGTGCCTGGCACACCAACAATTAGATCAATTTTAGTTGTTAAAAGTGATAAAAAGAAAAAAACCTTAGTAGAGTTGTTTCATACGGAGCCAGGCATTTGGCATACTACGGCTTCCACACTAGCCAGGTGTTCCAGCTTATAAGAATATTCAAGATTTTATGACTATCATCATGTAATCCACTTTACAGATTTTAGTTGAAACAAGTTGTATAGGCAAGATATATACATTCCCTATTTATTGAACATATACTATTTACAATCAGTACACTGTAAATGGATATTTACTAAGGATATTTATCTGTTCTTTTGGTCGATTTAAAGTACATAAAAACAAAATACATGATGAATTTTCTCATTCAAGAGGACATCATTGTAAACGGTTTTTCTGTTTTTGTTTTTTAAAAATGGTTTTTACTGGTGTTTTTGTCTTAATTGCTTCAAATTTTCAACTCCATTTTGACAGTGCCATAAGAGTATTGTAAAGGTAACACTCACCTCCAAATCCAGGTCTCATTGCAAAATCATGGTCCTCTATATGGAGAAGTTGCTCATGTTTCAGGGGCCACCCTTTGGCACTGTCATCTTTCCTCATTCTGGTGTCTTGTTTGCTGTTCCTCCAAAGGGGAAAAAAAAATACTTCTGAGATACATGTGCTTCTAAATATTTTGATTTAGGTTAGACTTCTGTGTTGAACATGGTATGCTCTGAAATACTATACATACAACATCTCATTTTATCAGTTCCTATTACACACAGCCAAAGCTCTGCCAACATTTACTCTTTATTATTATATAAGAGTGGGGCAGGTGGGGTAAACCAACTTTTGGAGCATCGTAAATGACAAACTGAGTTTGGATGGAATGCACTGACAGGCAATGTTTCTCAGAATATGGTTTTTAGACCAAGAGAACCTGGTCACTGCCACCTGGGTGGAGGTGATCAAAATTCAGACCCATGGACTCCACCCCAGGCCACCTCAATGAGAACTGAAGGAAACTGCCTAGAAACCTGCATTAAATATGCTACCTAGTGATTCTTGGAGTCCCTGAAGTTAAACTACTGCTGCCCTAAGACAGTAAAAAACCAGAAACCCTGCAAAACTGTAAACTGATGAAGATAGTGTCATACAAAGACAAAATGAACAGAAAGTACAGGTGCAGGTTGAGGTTAGAGGTAGAATCTCTGTAGTAGGTTCTGGAACTTGAGGGATGGCAATGGGAATGGAGAGGAATCCAAAATAAAAATGGATAGATTTGACAATTGACTGGGCCTGATGCCAGGGCCACTGGGAAGGAGGGAAAGTCTGTTTTCACCTACGGGCCTCTAGGACAAGGCAGAGCAGGGAGTGGCCTCTCGGGCATGTGCAGAGCCCTGATCTCAGAGTAGAGCCCTGTTCCTCCCTGTAAACTCGGGCAAGTTGTGGGCTTAGCTTCCCTGACTCGTTTTTGGTCCTGTAATACATACTTCCCAGCCATATTCTAAGTTTGGAGGCAGAATGTGAGTAAAAGCTCAGCCCCTCTGTGAGTGATATGCAGCAGTTTTCCCGTCCCAGGTGATGGAGACTTTGCTCAGTAACTTCCAGAAAAGCATAGCTGTCATCATTACTGTCATCATCCCCGTCAGCAGCAGCAATAACACAAGACCATGAGGGGTCTACTAGATGGATTCTAGTTACTCTGCATTCCTGATATGCTTTTGCTTTAATACATGTCTTCTCCAGCAAAGAGATGTAAATTGTAACCTAAGCCTTGTGGATGCAATTTCTTAATCCAGTAAAGCGACTCTGATGGTGAGAATTTCACATTCTGAAACAGCTGGTTGAAGAAATATGTCCAGGCTTATGGGCACCTGACATCAATCAGTATGTTCTTTCAGTAGGGAAGTTTCTGGCTGAAACCCTCAGAGGTTTATATATGTGTTTGCCATTGATAGGAATGGGGACGTTGGAGAAAGAACTCTGTTTCGGGAAGAAGACAATGAGTTTGATTTAAAACATGTTAAGTCATTACATACTATGAATAATTGAACACATAGAACTATTTCTTCCAAGGATATAGAATTATCTAGAAAACTTCTTTCTAGGAGATAAACTGGACTATTTATTGAAAACGGAACAGCAGCTAGTTTTTATTAAATGCCTACTATGTTCAAGACCCCATACCAGACGTTTTGTAAATATTATCTCCTTTGGCATGCATCTGAATCACCTGGTTTGCCGGGCCCCATGCCCAGAGTTTCTGATTCAATAGGCTTGAGGTATGAGAATTTGCATTTATAACAATTTCTCAGGAGGATCACTGGTTTGGAAAATAGTAGACGTTTAATAAAAGCTAACTAGCTGTTATTATTTTAAGGAAAAAAATGGAATGTAACTTTGGGTGGAAATTCATGAAAATTTCTGAACTCGGATGGTGATAAAATGCAACTAAATGGCACATCACTAATGTGTCGTTTCAGAAGCATAACTCTCCATGAGATTGGAAAGACTAAATTTAATTAAGAATCCCAAGAACACTGAACACAGAGCCTGCTATGAAATGCACTCTTGGTAGTGCCTGAAATACACACACCTGTTTTTACCAGAGGGCTCTTTCTGATTCAGTGAGATGTCCCATATTTATTTATATTTGAACTTACACATATTTATATTTATACCGCTTTTATTTCTCAAAAATGATTATGTGGCTTATATACAATCTAAAAAGAATTTTTAAAATCTATGTACTCCTTCACATATATTTAAGTAGGCATCTATAATTTTTTATCATAAAATTTAAAATTACTTAACTATTGATAATTTAAAATAAAATTCAAATTCCTGCTTTTAATGTATGCAATGACTCTAAATATCCACATTATACATTTGTAAATAGATGAATAGGCTCTTTAAAAATTAGAAATTTCATCTCCTTCCTTGTTTTCTTTGAACTTGCATTTCCATTTTATTTCCTTCCTAGAATTTTATCACCCCATCATAGTTCTTTGCAAGAATATATGTATACACATTAAAATTAACTTTTTAAAGCTTCTATGATGATTACAAATGGAGCAAAACATAACTTATATAAATGCTGATAACTACTTATTAAAATTATGAATAAAATCTTATTGGAAATGTAAATCTTAATGAAGTGATGGTATATTATCCCCAATTATTTCCTGTATCTGTATACAGATATTACTTAGTGCTACAATGAAACTAGATCTAGTGTAAATTCTATTACTAATTTTTACTTTAAAATTTTTTATTTTTTTATTGAGGTATAATTGATATAATATTAAATTCAGGTGTACAGCATAATGACTCGATATTTGTATATATTGTGAAGTGATCAGCACAATAAGTCTAGTTAATATCTGTCACCATACATGGTTACAAATTTTTTTTCCCTTGTGGTGAGGACTTTTAAGGTTTACTCTCTTAGCTATTCAGCAACACAGTATTACAGTACTAACTGTAATCACATGCTGTACATTATATCCCCATGACTTATTTATTTTATAACTGGAAGTTTATACTTTTTGACTCCCTTCACCTATTTGCCCACCCCCACCCCCACCTCCTGCCTCTGGCAACCATCAATCTGTTCTCTGTATCTATGAGCTTGTTTTTTGGTGTTTTGTTTTTGAATTATCACATATAAGTGAGATCACATGGTATTTGTCTTTCTCTGTCTGACTTATTTCACTTAGTATAATACCCTTAAGGTCCATCCATGTTGTCACAAATGGCAAGATTTCATTTCTTTATGGCTAAATGATATTCCATTGTGTGTGTGTGTTTACCACATCTTCTTTATCCATTCATCCATTGATGTACACCTAGATCGTTCCATATCTTGGCTATTGTAAATAATGCTGCAGCGAACATGGGTGTGCATATATCTTTTGGAATTAGTGTTTTTATTTTCTTTGGAGAAATACCTAGAAATGGAATTGTTGGGTCATATGGTAGTTATATTTTTAATTTTTTTAGGAACCTCCATACTGTTTTCCATAGTGGCTGTACCAATCTACATTCCTGCCAACAGTGCACAAGGGTTTTCTTTTCTCCACATCCTCACCAACACTTGTTATTTCTTGTCTTTTTTACAATAGACATTCTAACAGGTAACAGGTAATGAGGTGATACTTCATTGTGATTTTGATTTGCATTACCCTGATCCTATTTTTTAATTCTTATAGGTGACAATATTGAAAAACATTGTTCTTAGATATGTAAGTACATGGACTTTGAAGAATTTTTTTTGTTTCAGCACTGTAACTTAATTATTTAAATTCCTTCTTATATTCTGAAATTCACATTGTGATTACCAACAATTATTTTTAATGCTTTGCAACCCAGCAAATTAATTAGATTCTTCCTTCAATTTTGTTGAAAGCAAGAAAAAAAAATAAGGAATTCATCCAGTTCAGAAAAATATGTACTATTTAAACTAATGTCATCCACTACCTCAACAACAATATTTACAATTGTCTCTTTGTACCCAGAAGGATTTTATACACGGGGACAATGCACATGGTAAGATTCAGGAAGAGGGAGAGCTATACCTTTATTTTGCTAAGTGGGACAGAGTAATCGTTAAAAGGAGGCTGAAAAGGAGAGATTTCAGTCAAGTTTTTAGGTGAATAAATTTTTGGAAAGAGGTCAAAGGAAGTCAAAGAACCAGAAATGATAGTTCTAAAATTATCCATGTCCATATGCCCTTCTGATAGCTTGCACACACACTGAGGGGTACGTTATACTCCCGGAGTACAGGTGCCCTATTTGAAGACCCCTGTTTATAAAATCAAAGACATAAATAGAAAGGTTAATAAAATAAGGACTGAAATAGAACAGACACAAAGGCAAGAGAAGCAAATCTACTTAATAAGGGGGTTAATTTATGATGGAGCCTCAGATTTAGTTCAGAGCTTTCTGGCCTTATTCCATATATGCATCATTTTAAACTACTTTGTGCCTCTTGCTCTGTCCCTATTTTTAGTAGCTACTGAAAGAAAGCTTTTGGAAACTTCTGTCTGAGAGAGGGACTTGTAGAAGGCTGAGTCCTGATGGGATAGAGCAAAGAAATCTCAACTCAAGAAGAGTCTTACACCAGCATTCTCAATCTTTGTCTTTTCTCACAAAGTATTATGAACATTGTTTGGGGAATAGTAAGTGTAAGTCTTGGTGACAGTTGTCATTTTTCTCTTTGAGTTAGAACCTTTTCTTTCTTGGATGAAATAAAGGAAACACATTTCTATGTTCCCCCCTCTTCTCAGTATGAGAAACTCCACTATAATTTTGTGACTAAGAATGTGGGGGTCTGGGGGGAAAGAAGGGCTAGATTTTGACTGGTTTCAGGGGGACTAAGGGAGTCTTTGAAGAGGACATATTAGGCAAAGAATTAAAAGGTACTATAACTGGTTGAGGAAAAGCAAATACAGTTAAGTCATTCTGATGCATTGGAGTTTTAATAAATGGAATGACAAAAAACTCATTTCAATTCAGTCACAAACACCTAGTTGCTTTATAGAACTGCTTTCCCAAGAGCCTACATATTTGATTAGTTTACTAGGATCAGAACTTGAAAACAACTAGGTCTGACATGAATAGGCTATTTATACAGGAAGATATAATCAATAAGCATATTAAAAATATTTAACCTACAGGGTTAACAGTGAGATACCAATTAAAACCCTAACTACCATTTTATACCTATTAAATGAGCAGAAAACTAAAACTCTTAGTACCAATGCTATTAAGAATGTGATGAAATGGGAACATTTATACTTTGTAGGTGGCAGTATAAATATTGGCAAAACCGCTTTTGAAATCAATTTCAAGAGCTATCAAGATAAATTACATGCTTTGACTCAGTAATTCATTTCCAGGAATATTATGTTTTTTATTGGTAAAGGAAAAATTACATGCATGAAGATATTTATTGCTGTTACTCATAACAGTGTAAACTTGAAAATAAATGTTCAATAATAAGTAGGTAATTCTAGTCCTTTAATTCAAAGTAATTATATTGAGTGATTAAAAATACCATTATGATGTCTGTGAAACCGTGGAAAATGCTTAAGTGAAGAAAATACAAAATAGTTTCTACACTATAATTTTAAACATGAAAAATCATGTAGGTACATGAATACAAATTAGAAAAACTTGAAAAGGGAAAGCATAATTGAGATTCTTTGTATTTTTTTCTATGTAAAAATATATTATTGGATTTGTGTAATAAATGCTTTATTAAAAAAGTTATCTAGACCAAATTGGACTTGCCACTTGGATTGATCCAAATTCCCAAATAGGATCCATTTCCAAATAAATATTTTGTCATGGCTTTCCATCTTATCATTCCACTCTCCATGTCATTCTAGATACATGTCCTGCTGTTAACATAAACTTTTTTCTACTTAAGTTCTATTAGGAACAAGTGCACGCAGAAGCCCAGCCTGCAGTCTCAAATAATGTGTAGGCAACACTTTAAAAAGTTTTTGTACATTTGTTATTTTTCTTTAGAAAAATATGAAATGATGCAAAAATGTTCTATGATATGATATAGTTTTTAGAGCACGGCAGGATAGAATAAGATAGGATAGGATAGGAAAAGATGGAATGGTATGATGTAGTGTTGTATTTCTACCATATAGATATGATAAATGTAAATAACCTCAAGAACAATAGTTAATAGTAAGATACACTAAAGTGATTATGAAGTGGTGAGTTTTCAGAATTTATTACCTTAATTTTTAAAATAATTTATTTAATGGTGTATTTATATGATTTAATTCTTAATAATGTTTATTTTTAACAGCTAGCTAATAGATTTCCTGAAAATGTAACTCTTGGCTCTTGCAAGCCGATTTAAGCAGACTCCATGCTGTGCTCATTATTCTTAAGGCCAGAGACAGTGTATTATTACCCGAATATCTGTAACCCCCAACCTAGCAGTTGGCATATAAAAGGCACTCAATACAATTGCTGAAAGAGTGAATTAATATTCAATGACTCCACATGTCTAATCCTCTTTGCATCACCAAAGAGCCAAATCTCTTCCACGGGCAAAACAGGAATACTTTTCTTCTGCTATAATTTCGTTTATTCACCACCACCACCCTCATTTTGTTTTTAAGATACAAAGGGAATCTTTGGAAGTAAGATTTTAAAAAATGTTTGGATAAAAAGGGAATTTGGGGGTAAAGAGTAAGATTATAGTCTAAATGAAAACGGTTAATAGCCAAGCATTTAAGGGCCTGACTGTAGGAAAACTGGCTCCAAATAATGCACGTAAATGTGAGGTAATGCACATAAATTTATTCCATAATTTTCAAAGAAAGATCATGCCTTTCTTCCATGTTCATTCTATGAGTTGTCTTGTGCTATGAAATAGTGGATTCATTCATTCATTCATTCATTCATTCATTCATTCATTATTTAGTTACTAATATTCAGATTGGAGCCACACAGCATTTATTCATATACTAAGGTTTGAAGAATCCTGGGCTTCTATAGAACCTACCCTATACAGTGATTTCTTTATTTTTGTCAAAATGCCTTAAAGTCTGCATGACAGTGTGCTGAGTGACAGCCCAGAAATTGGCTGACTGGATTATACTGTTCACTCAGTGAAAATGCCTGGCTTTCATTCTCAGTGGCTACTTCTAAACCAGGGGTGATGGTTTCCTCAATCCCTAGAGGATTTTTCTTTGAAGAACAAAAGAAACAGAAATAAATTTTAATGAGTCGTATGCTAGCTGAAAAAGGGGTGCCTCAGGGGGATAGAGAGAGATGAAAACAAACACGCTTGGTCTGATGTAACAGAAACCCTGGGTTCCCTCTTCATTTTAAATAGGGTCTAAAAATGAGACATCTAAGAAAAAAAATTCCCACCCCACCACAAAAAAAGCACTAATGTTTTTCTCTTGCTCCTTAAATGACACCAAAAAAATACACGTAGATTTTTGTGCAGCAATTCTGCCGCCGATAGGTGGGCTGGTGTGATTAGCTCCTATGACAATCTCCCTTCTCATCTATACATCCACCAAACAAACAGGACAAATCTGTTTGAGCTGTAAGTGATATTTTAAGTAATCCCTACCAATGTCAAAATTAGATAAGATATACTACGCAGAAGTTATAAGGAACCTGAAAAAAATATAGTCTGCTAGTATAACCCCACATTTCCCAAATACTGCCTTGCCTAAATGCCTTCAAGAAGACTCAGAAAGACTCAGAAACTTCGTATCACCTCAGATCTGGGTGCAGGAACCAAAGCACAGAAGGAAAGCGGGGGACATAATCCTTGATTCTCAAGAGCAGTGCAAGAGTCAGGCATCTATTACAGTGGCCTCTTCCACCCCTCACCCCCCACCTCTTTGGTTTTTGGTCATTGAAACTGAGGCTTCCGAAAGACTTATTAAAATTTCCTGTTCTCTTTCCTGATCTTATTGTAAGTGCTTCATAAATATTCAAGCTGTGAGGGCAGTCTGGCCGAAACATCTGTCACCCCATTGATTGCCAAGGTTGGCTGGGTGATACCACTCTCATTCCTCAATTTCTCCTGCTGCGTCTTTTGGGAAATCTTGGGGTTGGTGAAAAGGAAAGGCTTTTCTTAAGACAGGAGCTAATTTTTTGCTTATTAAAGGCACGCGGGTAATAGGGAAACAGTTGTTCCAGTTTTCCTGGGACTGAGGGAATTCCTGGCACTTTTAGTGCTAAAACCCACTAAGTCCCAGCAAATGGGGATGATCTGGTCACTCTAGTAGTTAGCTGTGCTCCTTTACTAGCGTGTTCAAACATGCTCTCAATTATTGATGATGGATAATAATGGTGATGTATCAACATTTGGCGATGTTTCAAAGGTATGGAAACTATTCTTGAAAGACAACAAATGGCTTTAATGCCTTTCAATACTATCTCATCAATATATGAAACCACATACCCTACAAGTACTTGACATTAGGAGACTACCACTTAAAAAGAATTGGAAGAAATATTGTTTCTTTAAGTGTTACTAATAATAAGTGTGTTACTTATTGAGGAAATATATTCCCTCAAAGAAGATCCCTGTATGAGCCCTTTAACTGTTAGCTCCAAAAATAAGCATGCAAATGCCAGCAGAGGTCCAAGGTTCTGCTCTTTCTGAGGCCAACCCGAGGTGATTTATTTTAAGTGAATGCTACCTCTAGAGACAATCAATGCCACAAAGGTGTGCTACCATCACGGGTATGTTTCTAGGTTTCCCGTATGTCTGAGGCAGCTGGTGGGAAGAAACTGGGCAATACCTGCATAGACTATATGCTCTGGGTATCTTACACTTTTTTTTTCTTTTTTTAAGATTTTTTTTATTGGGGAATTGGGGGGATGGGAACAGTGCTGGGGAATTGGGGAAAGGGGAACAGACAAGTTGCTGTCGTTTTTTGTTCTTCAGTCTAGTTGTGGAGGACGTTGCTTCACTGGCCCAAGTTGGCACCATCATTGCGCTCTTCTCTGGCAAGGCAGATCAGTCGCCGGCTTCTGGACGGCCGCTCACTGCGGCTGCTGGCCGCTCACGCTGGCTGCTGGCCACACACGGTAGCCCATGGCAACCCACTGCCACAGGGGCTGCAGCCCACGCCGTCGCCGGCGACTCACGGCAGCCCAGCTCCAGGTTGAGCTGTTGTTCAGCATCTTAGCTGTGGAGGGCAGTGTCACTGGCCCTCATATGTGGGATCCGAACCGGGGCCCTGTGGCATCCCAAGCGAGTTCTTAACCATCGCGCCACTCGGCCGGCCCCACTAGGGATCTCTTACCGGGTCCGTTTCACTGAAGAGGAGCACCTCCGGTGGGGCTTCGTGGCTTCCGCAGCAGCAAACGCATTTGGCATCAGAGTGATCCAGGTGCAGGTGAAGAACGACTGGGAAGCCAGGATCATCTCTTCCAAAAGAAAGGAATGCAGATGGATGCCACCAACACTGTTATCAATATTGCGTCTTGTGTCTTTTTAAAAATAAATACTGTCCCAGGTCAAAGGTATCTAGGGAAAAAGAGAGCCTTGCTTTCCTTGCCATCTGTGTCTTTTGTTTTAGTAGATTAAATAGATTCTGATTACCTACAGGCAAACATCTGTCTGGATCATCAGCCATTTAGGGAAAAGAGAGCAGGGTTTTTTTCATTTTCAGTTTGTATCCTTTGGTCCCCCTTTCCAGGGTAGGTTCTTAGTGAGATGCTTGATCCTCAATAAACTCAGCGGCAGGCCTCCTCAGACAAAGAAGTGACGTTAGACACGAAACCCCCTTAAGCCAACACAATATCATTTGAATATGCGTAATGAATCGGCAAAATAATATCCTTAATGAGAAAAAAGATGCTTAATATAATTTTAATTACACATTTAAAGATTTAATTACACTTTTAAATTATACTTTATTTCATGGTTCGTTTTTAATCCAGAAAGGACACTTTCCCCTCTCCAAATGCATACAGACTGCTATAGTACAAACAAAAAATTAAATTATTACTTTTGTCAGATAAATAATCATATTTTAACAGGATGGTTTATGTCACTGATATCAAAAGTGGTTCAATTTTAAGTTTAATATTATAAGCAACCTGATAAATAAAAAAGAAATTTGCCTGGGGAAGTGGGTAAGGAATACACTTATCACTGTTGAATTATGACCATATACTCTCCTAAGGGTACTTTGCATATGTAGAGTAGAAATATTCCCTCTATGTATGCAAAGACACCCTGTGTACTGTATTATTGCTTTGTCACATTAATTTATTTTGACTTGGGTTTCATCTTCTCTTAGCCCATGGATTCAAACCTCCTGCTATGTTTTTTAGTCATGTCTTTCCTCTTTAAAATATGTTTAATATAAAATATTACAAATATGCAGAATTACATAATAAATTCTTTCCTCTTCCCTTATCCTTTATTTACTGCTTATCATTACATACAGTTATAACCATTATTATATGTGTATTCATAAATAATGCACAAACTTTCTGCATGTTTCAAAAAACTTGATCAAAATGGTGTCATACTTTTACTTCTGCAACCTACTTTTCTCTCAGTTATGCTTAGAAATTTATTATGTTGAAAAATGTAGCTCTAGTTAATTCATTTTTAACTGTTACATGGTGTTTCAGTTTGTGGATACATTTTATTTATTTATTCTTTTGTTGATAGACATTACTTCTTACTTTTCTATCATAAAAAACCTATTATAAACAATCCTGCAGTGAATTTTTGTAAATTTTTTGTGTGCATATGTGTAAGGGCTTCTTTAGAGTAAATACCTAGAAGTAAAACTGCTATGTTGAACAATTTTCACACCTTCAAATTTATTGGTTGCTACCATATTGCTTTTCAAAATGATTGTACCAATTTACACCACTAGCAGTGAATGAGACTTTTCATTTCTTAAAGTCCTCTTTAACATTATTATTATCAGGTTTTTAAATGTTACTCAACCCAATGGATGTTATACTGTTAATTTAATTTGATTTTAATTCCCTACTGGTTAGAAAAGCTTGAGCATTTTTTTTAACATATTTCTAGGCCTGTAAGGTTTCCTCTTCTAGGAAGAACTGTCCAATAGAATAAAATGTAACAAAGGTTTCTGGTCTTACGCTGTTGTCACTTTGGCTGCTGGACGACTCCATTGGAGGTCAAAGTTTGTTTCCTTTTTCTTTTTTTTAAAATTTTATTGGGGAACAGCGTGTTTTTCCAGGACCCATCAACTCCAAGTCAAGTAGTTGTTCCAATCTAATTGTGGAGGGTGCATCTCAGTGGCCCGTGTGGAGATGGAACCAGTAACCTTGGTGTTATGAGCACTGTACTCTAACCACTGAGCTTACTGGCCGCCCCTCAAACTTTGTTTTCCGTCTCAGTGTTGTCATGAGATTCCAGAGACCCAATCCGTTGACCCAGCACTCTTTGCTACCTAGGTCTTTTCATTAAGTGCCAATAACTACACCAACATTTCCCAAAATAGTTTTGGCTATACCGAAGATATTTTGTGAAAAAGTGCTCTGTGCTGAGTTTGGGGAACTATACATCTTATTACCCTGTCAGGGGTTCACAGTTCACATTACATGGTACAGTGAATGTGTGTTTTCCTTCAGCAACGTGGATGATGTTCCCTCAATGGTCCAGTCTCAGCTTTTACCTTACTCAATCCATCCATTGGAAACATTGACTCACCCAATCCTTCTCTCCCATTTGAACCATTTTCTTCACCTGCCTTCTGGGATACTGTACTGTCTTGTCATTATTCTTCATTCCTATGATCTGATTCCCCTTCCTTTATCAGATCGCATACTATTGGAGTGGCCCTATGCTCAGTACATCAGCACTTTAGTACTTGGTTTTTTTTTTTTTTTTTTGTTTTTCTATCAGCTCACTCCTTTAGTGATAGCATCCAGTTTCAAGGTTTTAAAAATCATACACATGCTAACACACTGAAATTTATGTTGTTGGTCTAGGCTTTTCTCCCAAAATTCGGTACCCCCCTTCCACCCACCACCAAATTCATATGTTGAAATCCTAATCCTCAAAGGTGATAGTTTTAGTAGGTAGGGCTTTTGGGAGGTGATTAGGTCATAAGGAGGGAACCCTCACAAATGGGATTAGTGCCCTTATAAAAGAGACCCTAGAGAGCTACCTCATCCTTTCCACAACAAGAAACCTGCAACTTGGAAGGGAGCCCTCATCTGACCATGTTGACACCCTGATCTTGGATTTTCAGGTTCCAGAACTGCGAGGAGTAAATTTCTGTTGTTTATAAGCTACCCAGTTTGTGGTATCATGTTATAGCAGCCCAAATGAACTAAGAAACATATCCAGCTGCCTGGTTAATATTTCTACTTGGATGTCTGATAAGTATACCAAGTTTGACATGCCCAAAAGTAAATTTATTAACATTTTTCTCTGATCCACCTATAACTTTCTCCATCTCAACTGACGATGATACCATCTTTTCTTGATTCCTCTCTCTCACACTCTGCATCCAATCCACCGTAATACCCAGGATCCAAGTGCTTTTCACCACTTCTTCAGCTACTACTCTGGTCTTTTCATCATCATCATCTCTTGCATGAATGATTGCAGTGTTTCCCTAACTGATCCCTTTGCTTTTTCCCTGGCCAAGATTCAGTCAATTCTCAACACTGCAACCAACGATCCTTTAACACTTTGAGTCAGATCAAGTTACTTCTCTCCTCAAAACTCTGCAGTGGCTACTCACTTGCCTCAATTTAAAGTCTTTCCAATGGGTAGGAAAGCTCTCTATAACCTGCCACTTCCTCCTCCTCCTTGCCTCTCTGACTTCTCCCCCCTATTCCCCTCCGTGCATGTGCACATACACACACACACACACACACACACACACACATACAGCCAGCTGTTCCTCTGACACTGGCCTCTTTGCTGCCCCTTGAACATACCAAACACCATCCCTTCTCAGGGTCTTTGCACTGGTTGTCGCCCTTGCCTGACACATTCTTAATCCAGGTATCTGTTTGACTAACTCCTTTAACAAATTTAATTGTTTATTCAATGAATCATACCCTGACCACCCTTTTAAAAAACTCAGAATGCTTTCTTTCCTCCTAAAACCTGTGTTACTAATTCACCTTGTACATCACTAAGCATATTTTATATATTTTACTTATTATGTTTATCGCTCATTGTCTGTCTAATCTTGTTAGAATGTAATAAGCTCTACAAAGAAGCAACTTTCTTCTGTCTTGTTCCCTGGGGTATCCCAAACACGTTTTTGGCATATAGTCAGTGTTTAATAGATATTTGTTGAATGATTATTAACATATTAAAGTTGTCAGTTTAAAAAAAAAAAAGCCTGTTTAGTTCTGCTAAATTCTATAGTTCCCAAACTTAGTTGGCCTTGGATCGCTTTTTAAAACAAATCCACAATGCTTACTAATATTCTTCACAAAGGAAAAAAAAATGCTCCTCCATCCAGAGTACCCAGTTTGGGAAATTCCGACATAGGTAAATAGATACTTTACACATCCTCCTTATTAAAATTCTATGCCCATCAGTTAGAGGCTAATTTTGATGACTGCTGAACTTGTAAGTCACAATGAAATACTGGAAGCTGAGGCAGAGTAAGCAAGTCATTAAGAGGGGGTATCTTGAAGCAATATTTTGACCTGAAGGAATGAAGTACAAATGTAGAAGTTGTCCACCTTTCAGGTCAGCAGTGAAGCTATTTGGGGGGCACACACTTTTCAGAAATATCTGGCAGATTATATGCCTCATCACCATCATTAATCATGTCACGGTGTCCTGGGTGCCCACTTCCACACTGTAGAGATCAATTAGTAATGCAACTTCGTCTGATCTCTTTACTGAATCATCTTTCTCAGACCAACTATTCATATCAATATCAGCATTAGGGGGCAGGGGATAAAAGCGGTTGTATTTTGTCAGTTTTGAATTTTAAGTGGGGAATGGTTTGCACAAAAGTAAAAATAAGCAAAGGCCTAGGCTACAAAGAGTTGGCCCACAGAAGGTCTTAGAGTTTCAATTTAATTACAATAAGGCATCTGTCTCTGTCGATGCTGAATGAACTCCTTAGCCTCCCTCCTTTAGTGCTTTCTTTGTAACCCCAGCACTTCTTAAGAAAAAAATCAGAAAACCACACCTGTCAAAATTAGAAAGTGGTAACTACCAGGAAAGAAAATGAATCACAGAGTCACTGGAGAATGGTGAAATGGTTTAAGCATTCCCTGGCGTAAATGGAGTCCTGTTCACTTTTCTTCCACTCTTACGATGTCTGCCAGTTTCTACTCCTTTGGCAGGGAGCCAAAGAGAAACTTGGATAGCATGGCTATGTCCCAAATATTCATCTTGGGGTAGATAGCTATTATTTTGCTTACAAGAGGAAAAAAAATAAGGAAAGTAAA